TGAATCACATTTGTTATCCATTCATCCACTGATGGACACTCAGGTTGTTTTCGTATCTTGGCTATTGTCAATAATGCTGCAATGAATATGGGGTGCAGTTATCACTTCATAGCGTTTTTATGTCCTTTGGACAAATACTCAGAAGTGGAATTGCTGGATCCCATGGATCTATTTTAATTTTTTAAGAACTCTCCCTATTTCCATCATGGCTACACGAATTTACATTCCTATCAGTAGTGCACCAGGGTTCCCTTTTCTCCACATCCTTGCCAAGTCTTATTTCTTGTGTTTTTGCTGACAGCCGTTCTGACATCTCTCATTGTGGTTCTGATTTGCATTTCTCTGATGATAGTGATGTTTTGTCCCTTTTCGCGTCCCTGTTAGCTGTCTGCATGTTTCCTTTGGAAAAATGGGTATTCAGATTTTCCGTCAATTTGTAAATCAGATTGTTTGTTTTCCCTATGAAGTTACATGAGTCCTTTATGTATTTTGAATATTAACTCTTTGTCAGAAATAGGATTTGCCAATCGTTTCTCCCATTCAGTAGGCTGCTTTTATTTTGCTGATGGTCTCCTTTGCTGTACAGAAGCTTTTTAGTTTGATGTAACCCCAGCTGTTTATTTTGGCTTTTGTTGCCTTTGCTTTGTGGTGTTTAACGTTAAATATCATCATCAGGATGGAAGTCAAGTTGTTTATGCTTAAGTTTTCTTCTAGGAGTTTTTATGATTTTAAGTCTGATGTTGGATTACTTCGTGAATACTTGTGCATCTTGCTCAGGGGCCATGCTAATGTATCATTCCAGTTTTAGTATATGTGCTTTCCCTAAATGTGCACTTCCCACCAAGGGGAAATTTAAATTGACCTTATCCTCTGCTAGTCAAACTTGAAGAATATGGATTTGTAATGTCTCTTAGTGTCCCCTCTTTAAGCACAGGACTGAAGTTCAGAACCGTTTTTCTAAAGAGACTGTTTCCCGCAACCGCATTCTGTAGTCTTCTCTACAGAAGGACGTGTGGGATGTTGTTCCTGAGAACGCTGAGGACATGGTGACAGTCACAGCACTGTTACTGATTAGTTGAATCCTAAGAGAAAAACTCTAAAATGTGCTTAGGGAAAGGTAGTCACTTTCACTAATTATAAGAAATACCGTTGTAGATTCCTTGACGATGACTGATCACTAAAAATATCAATATGATAAAACAGGCTATGTACTTACTGGTCCCTCACAACATTCCTAGTAGACGAGCACCTTTGTTTTTTCTCTTTAGGGTACGGAATTAGGTTTATTCCTCTGCTAATCTTTTGGACAAATTTTCAAGATCCAGTTGCTGGTTCAGTGGAAAAGTTGACCTAGAGCAACTTAGAAATGTATAATGTGACTCTCAGTTAAACAATTTTGCATGTATGTTCATTAATGCGTTTTCATGAGATCTTACATGTTCAAGAACTTCCAGTTCATTTATATAACGATAAATCTTCAAAGAAAGTTTGAGCACAGCAAAGCAAATGCACTTTTGCATTGCT